AAATGTCTTTTAAAAAGTCTATCTGTTTACTGGAGTGTATATTTCCATCTTATTGAAGGTATTCTATATCAGTTCTCAGCTGGGATTGGTGAGGCTTATTATCATCTATGGGCATTTTCCAGCCATCTCTTTCAGTCCAAACTTCTCTAAGTGTTAGTGCAGTCATTTACCCTCCATCTGCAAATAGTCATCATGATAAGAGTGTATTACAGGCAGTCCTTGGGTTAATAAGTTGATCCGTTCCTAACTGTGTCTGTAAGTCTTTAAGTAGAATTTGTAAGTGAATTGAAATAGGTGCATAGCATTCTTATTTAGCCTTACTTTAGTGCAATAAGGAGCTCTGGTGGCATAGTGCCTAAGGCACTTGACTGCTAACCAGAAGACTGGCAGTTCAAACCCACCAGCCACTCCTAGGAAGGAAGATTGGGCAATCTACTTCCATAGTGATACTGCCTCGGAAACCCAAGGAGGGGTCACTGTGAGTGGGATCCGACTCAGCTCAAAGCCTTTTCAGTGATTTAAAAGCTGCGTATGCAGTAAGTGAAGCTGATGATGATGAAGAATTGGTTGTGAGTAGGGGTTAGTTCGATTCTTTCAAAGTGAGGGCAAATGTACATAACATTAAAGGGCAAATAGTTGTCCTTAAGGCAGGTGTTTGTAACCCTGGACACCTGTGTACCCTTCAAGTGTGATAAGGCAGGAGTAATCAGGTTAAACATTCAGTTTTCGATTTTTAGTGAAGAATTTTCTTGCTTTAAATTTTTATTTTATCATTTAAGAATCGTCAGCAGTTTATAAACTCTTCTTTTCTACCTTATTTTAATAAGAAATAGGAAGAATGAAGGTTCCTCAAGGTCAGAAGCATGAATTTAGTCTACAAAATGTATTTGTGGTATTTTAAAATCTGATATTTGGTTTTACAAATTCATAAGATCCAGAAAAGCTCATAGGTTAAAAAGCAAAGTAATTTCCACAAGTATTATAGTGAGAACAGTTCTCTAAATCCCTCTCCTAAGCTCTGTTAACTGTTTCTTCTATTTATCTTTTTTTTCTAAAGACTATGTTCTTATCATTATTTCTACATTTATCAATTTCAGACATTATCTCCTGATGTTTTCTTGTGGATGAAAAGGGTTTGGTTTTCTGATACCACGGTACTCCCTCTCTCTCTCTTCCTTTCTGCCACCTTCCCTATACATACAAATAGATAATAAATGGAGATAGTCTCACTTTTGATTAAATCAGCATCTGGTGACTGACAGTCTAATTAGGCTCTGAGTGCACACTATAACTACATTTCCTTTCTACTACAATTTTTTGGTCCTAGAATTAATAATTATTTCTTTTTTTGGATTGGTTTTCTATGCATATCTAATTAATTCTTTCCAAAATCCAAGTTGTTACAAAACATCACTAATGCTGTTTTCCCTGGGGTCCTCTAAGCACATCAATATTCTGTCATTTAAATTTTTACAGCGACTTGAATCATGCAGCCCACTCTCGTTCTGTTTCAGCATAAGGCTGTGACCATCCATCTACGACTAGATCCAAATGTGTGAATAATTTAATGAATGACAATTTAGATGAACTATAACAATGGGGGAAGCTCTGGTAGCATACTGCCTAAGGCACTTGACTGCTAACCAGAAGGCTGGTGGTTCAAACCCACCAGCCACTCCTCAGAAGGAAGGCTGGACAATCTACTTCCATAGTGATACTGCCTTCGGAAACCCAAGGAGGGGTCACTGTGAGTCGGGGCCAACTCGACAGCACATAACAACAACAACAACATAACAATGGGAAGAAGGTGAATATTTAATAAATGCTTTCAGAAAAACTATATTTGGAGAAAAAAAATGAATTTAGACCAGTACTTCACACTGAAACTTTATATTTTTTTAAATAAATCAAAAGAATCAAATATTAGAAGATAATAAGAATAAGATTATCACAGCTGTTCAAAGCTAGTTGCTTTTGTTTCAATTGTGGAAGAAGAAATTAATGACAGAGTTGATGACAATTTTTAAAACTTAATGTGCATTGAAAAATAGAACAGGTGAAAATCATGAAATGAAGAAAATATTTATACTATTAGATAAGTATCTGTTTTAAAGGACCTTAATACTCATCAGAAGCTATTCACAAAAATCCTGTTAGAGCAAAAACAGTCCTTGCCCTGGCAAAGTTAAAGAACATGGGTAGTTCATAAAATGGGAGAGAAATATGAAACATTAATAAAGAACTGAAAATGAGATCATATATTAGGCTCTACCCCAGACATAAACTAGCAGCTGTTGTGAGTACAAGCCTTACTCTTGACGTAAACATTGCCTTTCTGCAGTATCCTCCAGCAGTAAGCAACAGAAGCTGTGAAAACCGACATTACTCTTTGATAGGTGATCATTCTGTTTTGGGCAATATAGCCTGTGGAAATAACTCTCAAAAGAAAAGGGAAACCCTATTTTACAAAAGAGCACTATACAGAATAGGAAAAGAATATATGTGCCCAAGAACTGAGAATGTTAGACAAACTAATTCATCAGTATAAAAAAATATATAGCAGTTTTCTGTATTACTTCATGAAAAATGTATTAACAAAATAAGGTAAAAAGATAACACAAAAGCATATATTTAGTAATAATATTAATTATGCCTAAAAATTCAAAGGGTTTAGATTAGGTATGTCTATGAAATGGGGAGTGTATCTGCGATGTAGTAAATTACTTAGTGTGGCTCTTCTACCCATAAGTCTTTGTAAACTCCAAGGTGGGATTTTGTATGAGCAACTGAGCAGCCCCTGATTGCTGAAGCTATCCACCTGGGTTATTTCT